CTGCATACTTCACATGTGCATTTTGATTCTGATAGGTACCACATGTCCAAAACCAAAAATTTTTTTTAAAATATATTTTATTGATTTTTTACAGAGAGGAAGGGAGACAAATAGAGAGCTAGAAACGTCGATGATAAACATCGACCAGCTGCCTCTTGCACACCCCCTACTGGGGATGTGCCCGCAACCAAGGTACATGCCTTGACCGGGACCTTTTAGTCCGCAGACCGACGCTCTACCACTGAGCCAAACCGGTTTTGGCTCAAAACCAAAATCTTAATATTTATGAGCACTGTCCCCAAACCCAACCAGATCCCTCTGCAGCACACCTGTCTCAGTGGTGACTCCTCTTTCTCTTATCATCATCACCTAGTGTGATAAAATCCAGTGGGCTCTACCATACATATACACCCAGAATTACACAACTTTTCATAACCTTCAGTGCCACCATCCTGGCCCACATCATAATCATTTCTTGCTTAGATTACTGCCATAACCCCTAACTGGTATTCATGCTTTTGCCCTTAACCCTCAACAGTGTATTTTCTACAAGCACCCCAGGGTGACTGTTAATATAAACTAAGTCAGATTATGTCACTCCTCTGCTGAAATCTTTAATGGCTCCCATTGATTTAGCACAGCCAACATCCTCAAGTCCTCATCAAACTTACAAGACCTTCCTTGCTGGTCAGTTCACTGACCTCATGTCATTTCTTTGCCATCTCTCTAGATGCACTACCCTTGCTATCCTGCAAACATATCAGACATGCCTCTACTTATCAGCCTAGCATGTCTGTTCCTTTTATTCAGAATGCCCTTCCCCTAGATATTGATATTGCCAGCTCTCTGACAATATCAATATTTCACTACTGACTTCAAAGTAGCTTCCAATTAGAGCTTTCCCTAGCCACTCTATCAACAATATTTACCTTGCCTGGCTGACATGGATCAGTGGTTGAGTACTGACCTATAAACCAGAAGGTCACAGTTTGATTCCTGGTCTGAGCACATGCCCGAGTTGTGGGCTCAATCCTCAGTAGGGGGCATGCAGGATGAAGTCAATAAATGTTTCTTTCTCATCCTTGATGTTTCTCTCTCTCTCCCACACCCTTCCTCTGAAATCAATAGAAATATATTAAACAAATATTTTCCTTGATTATTTTGTCTTCTCCATTTGAAACAAGCTGAAAGATATTGGTTTATATTGATCACTATTCTCTAGGCTCTAAATCAGTGCCAGTAAATCAGAGGTGCTTAATGAATAATTATGGAATTAATTCATTCAAAAGTGAAAGTCACTACTTATTCCATACTTACATGTCTTAGTGACAAATCTACAAAGTCACAGCCTTGAAAATCCAAAATCTATTTTTCAGTCTTTAATGGTACTTTCAATTAGCAAACAAGGTGGCTCCAAAGTTTATGACATCTGTAATGCTTTCAGGAACCCCGATGTAGGCATGGAGTCCAAAAGGTCCAATATTCCTGGTCTCTCACAAACATGAGTCTGTCCCCACACCTTTCCTGGGCTACAGTTTTCTAATTTCTAAATGTGCCATCTGATCTTATGCAACCTAAGTATTTATGTAGCATTTTAAAATATAAGGTGGGGCCACAGTAGGTTTACAGTTGTTCGTATAGAAAATAATACAATAATAAATAAACAATACAAGAATAAACTCTGTTTTGTGGACTTATGTCTGTAAATCTACATTTGCTTCACCTTGGAATTTGAAACTCATAATCACCAGCAGCAATTTATATAAAAAGAATATTTAAATGAACATTTAAAAGCATGCATTTTAAACAAAGTATTTCAAACATTAAGCACGGAAGCTCTAAAATTAAAAATGTTAAATGACAAGTTGATTTTTTTTCACCAGATAGCAAAAATGAAATATGGTCAGAGAATCTGAGGAAGAAATGGAAATGGGGAAGGAAGAGAGAAGACACAAGGGACTTTGCTGACCAATTGCAGTTCTCTTTCTAGCCAAAGCCTTTACACTGCCTCCCAACCTACACATACACATGCAAACACACACACACACACACACACACACACAATCAGACCCTCAGAAACATTCACTCTAGATACTAGTATGGGATCAGTTTTCACAACATACTTAGTTTTACAACCATTTCCTTAATTCATGATATAATAAGAAGTATGGATTTGTTCCATTGGCACACCCCCGACCTCTCCACCAGACCACACTCCCTGTTCTTAGTAAAATAAGGCAGACTACGCACACGTTTAGCATGTGTAACCCGTGGGACAGAGCTGGAAGCTAAGGCAATGAAACAACCTTTGGCAAGTCACCTGGACTCTCTGCGCCTCAGTGTCCTCTTCTCCGTGGTGGATGGGAAGAATGTCATGGAGCTTTAGTCTCCCAAGAGCTCCACCAGTTCCCCACCCTTTGACATGATCTAGTTATTTGTAAACTTATAAAACAAAGTTTCCATACATGTCTCCTAGCCCTCTCTTTCAACCAGAGTGCTTCTTACTTCCTGCCTCACAGATATTTTGGTGCTAGTAGCAGTTTGGCATTAATAATGATCAATCAATTAATAAATTTTTTTAAAAATGGCCTACCTCCAAAATTCTATTAAAGAGAAAGAAGGAGTGAGTGATAGAGAGCACTATGTTCACCTCAGTAAACACACTTAGCATAATTGGGGGCAGGGGAATTGCCACCTTCACTCTGTTATGTCACGCCAGTACTTTGCAGCAATTACTTTGCGAAATGAAAGACACCCTTGGACACCTGCTTCATGTATGCAATGGTTCCTTTCTTCATTTTATTCTAGAGGCCCAAAGCATGAAATTCTGCTCGGCCCTCATAGCCCCAGCTACCTCACAGCCCTGCTCCCTACCCACTTGTTATTCTGGGAGGTCATTCCACTGTCCGGTCTAATTAGCATATTAGCACTTTATTATATAGGGTATCTTCATAGTCATTTATTTATGTCACAAAAGGAAACTTGTAAACACAGCATCTGTTACTAGAGTGACACAATTACCTAATCTATGTAATAAAAGCCTAAGCAACTATTATGGCAGAATGATCAGAACGCTCGGAGCTGCCCCCTGGTGGTCAGTGCACTCCCCCCGGGGGGGGGGGGGGGGGGGGGAGTGCTGCTTAGCCAGAAGCCAGGCTCATGGCTGGCAAGTGTAGGGGTGGTGGGAGCCTCTCCTGCCTCCCCAGTAGCTCGAAGGAGCAGTGAGCTGAGTGACAAGAAGCAGTGAGCAGGTGAGCAGTAAAGAACGAGGACTCCTGGATTGTGAGAGGGTGCAGGCTGGGCTGAGGGACCCTTCCCCAGTGCATGAATTTCATGCATCAGGCCTCTAATATACATATTACCCTAATATGCAAATAGACCGAATGGTGGAAGAACCGATCAAACAACCGGTCACTATGACATGCGCTGACCACCAGGGGGAGTGTGTGGAACATGGTGAGAGTCAGCAGCAGGAAGGAGAGTGCAGAACATGGCAGCAAAGGCCATGGTGGATGGTGGAGCAGATGAGTGGGGGCGCTAGACTAAGGCAGGGAGCTGGGTGCTGTCATTGGGGCGAGCCTCTGGGGGTTACTGAAAGTTCTTTGCTCCCGAGTGCCACAGCCCCGCCTGGCAGTTGCACCTGTAGCTGGCTCTGGCCACACTCACATCACTGCCAATGCCCAGCACTGGCCCCACTCACTCAGCACTATCAGCAGGTGTCAGAGGTGGCTGCTGGCTCGATCCCCCCTCAAGGCTTCTCCACCTCCCCCTGTTCCTGAGGGGTGATCGGGGCTGGTAGCTGACTCTCACACCCACTACCTGTGCTAGCCCCGCTTGCACCTAGCCAGCACCCAGCGCCATTCCCAATGGCCTCTGAGGGCTTCTCCACTTCACCCTGCTCCTGAGGGGTGATGGGGGCAGCAGCTGCTACTTGCACCTGCTGAAGGTGCAGGACCGCTCACACCTGCTGCTGGTACTGGCCTCAACGGCTCCTCGCCCGTGAGTGGGGGTGAGCAGGCAGGGTCAGTGTGTGGGAGCAGTGGGGGCAGGAGCAGGGCTGTTGGCAGACAGGGGACCAGGGACTGATGCAGAAGGGGGCTGGCAGGGGCATGAAGGATGAGCCAAGACCCACCCCTGTGCCCACCGCAACCTTGCAGTCCACAGTTCCTTTCACGGGGTGTGAATTCATACACCGGGCCGCTAGTACTTTCATAAGAAGAAAAGAGCTGCCATTAAACCCAGCTGAGTTGTAAGGGGTTTGGGGGACAACACATTAGTTTTCTAATCATCGCATCTGGTTTAGCTGAACGTACGGTGCTACCAGCAGAGTCACCTGCTAAGCCTGGTTTCTGATGGACAAAAGGACCAACCACAGACATGTGACCTACTCTGTATGGGCAGGGAAAAGAAACCCCAGTCCAGCCCCTCATTCCCTATAATATACAAGTACAGCCTTTCCCCATGTAAATTCACTGGCAGGTGTGGGGGACTTTTTTACTTTCCCCAGTGACTAAATTTAGACAAAATACAATAAATTCAAGCCATAACCAAGTAGTAACATTTCAAGGCAATTCATCATTGGTTACTTTTTTTTTCACTACTACTGAGATCAATGTAAACGGAATGTCTACTTTTGGGGGAAATCCAATACTTTCTTCTAAGTGTAGATCACTATAAAGTAATCCTATAAATACGGTCTTACTTGCTTTGGTCTTTTTCTGGATACAATCAACAGGTCTATGTGACTCCCCATTAAATTTGATGTAGTCTTACGAATGTCTGAATCTTCTGATGGGGGAGGAATTAAGAGTCTGAGAGACTGCCTTACTTTTTAAAAAGCAAGCAGCCTATTTTAGTTTAAATCCTCCCCTACCCTAGGGACGCCCCACAGAGGCTGGATGGACCCCGGCCCCCAGACAAGCCCAGCATGAGTCCTGCTCAGACCCAGGTGCACGTCCCCACCCTGCACACCAGCCACCCCACAATGCGCCCAGGTTTACCTGCCAGGCTGCCCGGCCTCTGGAGGGTGGCGGTGGCATACAGCTCCTGCGAGTGCTTGCTGTACTGGTCGGCCGCGTGGACCAGGCGCTTGGTGGGCGACAGGGTGGCGTAGGTGCCGATGGTGGAGCTCAGCTGGTGGATGGGCGAGGAGGAGATGGTGGACTGCACGGTGGGGGGCGAGGTCACGCGGATCGGGGACAGGCCGGCCGAGGACACGACGATGTTGATGGGCGAGCTGGTGCTGTAGGACTTGGCCAGGCGGCTGGGCGACTGCTTGGGCGAGGAGCCGCGCGGCGCGGCGTAGGCGGCGCCCTCGGGGGCCGAGCCGCCGCGCTGCAGCTTGGTGGGCGAGCCGCCCGGGCCGGCCAGCGGGGAGCCGCCGCGCGGCGGCGCGGGCAGCGTGGAGCTGGAGTAGTAGAGCGCGGCGGGCGCGTCCGGCAGGTGGAAGGCGCTGCCCAGGCTGGGCGCGAACGGCTCCCGCGGCGGCGGCGGCGGCGGCGGCGGCGCGGGCTCGGGCCCCGGCAGGTGCCCCGCGCGGCTCGTGGCGCCCTGTGCGCGGGAGAGCAGAGGACACACACGGCTTAGCGGGGAGCGCGGCGCCCGCCCGCCCGGCCGCCCCGCCCGGCCCCCGCCCGCCCCCGCCCGGCCCCCGCCCGGCCCCCGCCCGGCCCCCGCCCGGCCAGGGAGGGACGCGGGGCGCCCGCCGCCTGGGAGCACCGCTGAGAGTGGGATCCCGGCGGCCCTCCAGGGGCAGGCAGGTGTTTCTCCAACAGAAAAAAAAAGAAAGGAAGGAAAGAAAGGAAAGGAAGGAAGGGAAGGAAGGGAAGGAAGGGAAGGAAGGGAAGGAAGGGAAGGAAGAAAGGAAGAAAGGAAGAAAGGAAGGAAGGAAGGAAGGAAGGAAGGAAGGAAGGAAGGAAGGAAGGAAGGAAGGAAGGAAGGAAGGAAGGAAGGAAGGAAAGAAAGAAAGAAAGAAAGAAAGAAAGAAAGAAAGAAAGAAAGAAAGAAAGAAAGAAAGAAAGAAAGAAAGAAAGAAAAGAAAGAAAAGAAATTAAGAGAAAACACGCAACAACCAACCAACTAGCAAAGGCGGCTGACAGTGGCATCAGGTGTGTTAAATGGGACAGGAATCTGCTTACGGAGCTAAGATGTTTCTGGAATAGCCCAGGCATCACAGGCGTCACATGAGGACTTTAAAAGGCCACCGGGAGCTACTTAAGGGCAATCACGATTTGTTAAGTTTTAAAGCGAAATTCAGGCATTCCATCTTTCCCTGCGCCCCCACCGGCATTCCGCTGCAAACTCTGCCTCCGAAACCGGCCCCGCTGCAGACCGAGTCTGGAGAAGAGCGAGGAGAGCAGGCGTCCCGGAGTTTATTCCGGGCGAGGGTCGCGCGCGGGTTCTTTTTGGGTAAGGACATTAAAAGGAGGGGAAAGTATTATTTCTGCAATGAACACGCTTGGTCTCCCAGTGTGATGGGAAATCACACACACAGTTCTAGAGGAATCAGAGCGATGGCAGATGAAGACTAAAAAAGCCTCTCTTTTCTAGATCTTAATCCTGGGCTCCAAACCATTCAGTATGGCGCTCGCTCTCTTTCTGTGGCTCACTTTTAAGAGCTCTGTCTAAACATTGAAAAGTCAGTGGTCCCCCTTTATACACAAGAACACAAAAGCCCACAAGGGCTGGGGCTGAGGGGAAATCACTTTTCCTTGAATCTCATCCAGAGACACATTTGCATCCGAATGAAAACACTACATTGTCAACCACTTCTGGGCAGGAGGTCTGGGGTGATCTGGGCTGGTGTGAAGAGTCCGGTGGGATTGTAAGGAAAGAGAGGTGCTGGGAAGGAAGGCTTTGGAATTAGGGAAGGGAATTGGGTGGGGAGGAGGAGGCTGATGAGATGAAGGGAAGGGTGGGAGAGACTGAACAGATGCTACCCATTAAGAATTTCAATGCTGCCTCTCCATCCGCTCTGGAATGGCAACTGGCAAATAACAGACCGGGCTCTTCCATCCCCACATCCAGAACATTACAAATTTTGTCTGGGATGCCAGACTCCTGCGGAAAGCTGAGGGAATGAACTGAGCAACATCAAAATCCTCTATTAAGAGCTGCATGGAAAGACAGGGAATCAAACTGTTGAAAGACATTCTCCATGTAAGGGATGTTTGTGTGTATTTATTTACATATAATATACATATTTGATATGTATGTATGTGTAAGTCTCTCTCGAAGTCTCTCTCTCTCCCCCCTTCCCTTCATCTCATCAGCCTCCACTGGTAACAATTCTCTCCTTGAGCAAACCCTAGTCAAACCACTGTTTTGAATGAGGCCCTGTGCTCATCTCTGCATTGCATGGTTTTAGCAAGCACCCTACAGAATCCCTTCTTCTTCCCCCATGTCCCCTCACCCTCCATATCAGACAGAGTTCCTCATCGGCCACGGTCCTCAGGTGGCATCTCAGCACCCAGGCCTGGCTTCAGCAAGCATCCTGTCGGGTCAGTTTAACCAGAACCCCTTCCCCATGGTGTTTCCTCTCAGTAATGCTCTGCCCACTGACCCCACCCTGGTCTTCAGCTATACGTTCCCATTTTTTAATGTTATATTCGCAATTGAACCCAGTCTAGTCTGAGGTCTCTTTCCTCTAATGCAGTTGTATATTTCTGAATAAAATCTGTATTTACCAGTCCTCTGTTCAGCCTGATTCTCCTCTCACACCACATGGCATGTATTTTGAGTTTAATAGTCAGTGGGAAGTAAATGTAAGCTCCATGATTTGTTCTGATTCATAGCAGAGGTGCCACAAATGTTGACAGGATAAATGAACAAACTGTTAGTAAAGCTGGTCCCAAGGCATTGGCAACGAGGGCTTTACTGCTCAGAGGAAGGTGGAGAAGCTGTGCGGAACTGCTGTGCTTACCCAAACCCCAGAGATACATTCCAGCAGCATCCAGAGTCATGGGCGTGCTTAGACCCAATTCTTGCTTTCCTCCTGGTAGAAGTTCTGAGCATGAAATGTACAGACGGGACTTCTCAAACCTGGCTGCATCTTACAATCGCCAGGGGAGCTTTCGAAGAAGTCTCAGCCCCCATGCTGTACACTAGCCATTCAGCTCAGAATCTCTGGAGGTGGGGCTTATCAGGCTTTCTGGAAGCTCACCAGGTGATTCCAATGTGCAACCCGATGTAAAAAAGAGTTGTCCCCAGAGCAGTGGTTTTCCAACTGTGGTCCTTGTTCCAGCAGCTAGCATCCAGAGCAGTGCTGGCATCCCTCCCTCGTTACTGAAGCAGAGACTCAGAAGAAGGGGCCCGAGGAAGTGCATTTTAGCAAGTTCTCTGGATCACAGGAATTCTGGTGGTCCCTGAAGTTTGCAAGCCACTGAGCTAGAAGAGACTGTGATGCCGGGGACAGAGTGGGACTGAGTGTCTGCATTTCCAGCAGCTGGTGTGGGAAGCACTTGCTAAGGCGCAGGCAGTGAGCTTCTGCCTTCCTTCACTTCTGAAGCTCTCCTGGGGCCTGAGCAATGTGCAGCAGCACAGGACCCATCTGGCAAGGGACAGATAAGCCCCAGGCAGCGATTTCTGTGAAGTCTTCTCACAGGAGCACAAGGAGAAAGAATTCCAGAGGGTGTGAGGACAGCCCCTTGCTTACAACACAACAAACACTTTTTCTTATGTCTTGGATATACGATATTCGTAATAACCCAAGCAGACTTTAATAGTGCCATTACCAAGTAGTAGAATCCTACATAATAAAAGCCTAATATGTTAAGTGTCCAGTCATCCGTTCCCAATCAAAGCATAATATGCTAATGATATGCTAAGGCTGCTCAACCGCTTGTTATGATGTTCACTGACCACCAGGGGGCAGATGCTCCAACTGGTAGGTTAGCTTGCTGCTAGGGTCTGGCCAATCGGGAGATAGCGAGACAGACTGGACATACCCTGGAGCCCTCCTATAGTCCCTCCCCAGCTGGCCAACCTCCTACATCTCTCCCCAGCCCAGATTGTGCACTGATGGGGTCCCTTGGCCTGGCCTGTGCCCTCTCGCAATTCAGATGTCAGAGAGCCAATTTTGGCTCGATCCCACGGACCATGGTGAGGGACCCCACTGGTGCATGAATTTGATACCAATATGAAAAATTATTCTAATATTTAATATTGACACAGATCTTAGAAAAACCTTGAATAAATTTTGCAAACCCTTTTCTTTTAATCTGTTGGAATGTTTTTTTGTTTGTTTTTTTAAAATTTGTTGGAACTTTGAGTCTCAGGAATGCTAATTATGCGGATACTATTGTCTAATAAGGTTTGTTAAATAGCCACAAATCTGCACAAGTTTTGAGCACTTCCACACTAGCTCCACAAATTTTGACAGGCTGTAGCAGCCAATCAAAACTGTTTCTAAATACTGCAAGATACTGGTAAAATTTAGCCAATAATTTTTTACATGAGAAGAGAAAAGCGTAACCATTAAAATGTTATATACTCTTTCAGATTGATATTGTCCATGGTGGAAATGTTTAAAATCTTCACTGTCTAATATGACAGCCAGCAGACACAGTGGCCTAGTGGGCACTTGACGTGTGCACTGGATTTTCACACACATTTGATCTGAACTATTTGACTTAAGTTGAATTTAAGTCCTCACATGTGGCCAGTGGCTACATTACTGGATCACACAGTTGTATCAGCCCTTTTGCAGTTTACAATATATAACCCAAGAGTGTTACACTCCATTCGGTGGTTTATGGAGTAAAAAAGTGTCTAAGAATGGTTCTCTGGCTAATCTAAGAAATATGTTTTTAACATGAATTGGACAAAAACAGTAATCTTTTGGGAGCTTGTTTCCATTCTTGTGTTTATTTTTTTGTTCCATTGTATAATTCATTTAGCAATTCTTAGCCAGTTGGGGATACAAAAGGCTGCACTTCAGTCTACCACCCAAATTCAAAGGCTGGCTTATTACTACCTAGCTCATTGGACTAAATACAATACAAACACATTTCAACACACAAAGAATTGCATTCACTTCACTGTCATGGAAGCTCAATTCTACCTTAAATGTAGGTAAATACCATCAAACTGTAAATGCAATTTTAAAGTTAAAATTGCAAAACTTCACTTAAAAAATGCAAAAAGACAACCACACTCTTCATTTTTGAGGATAGATGGGTAAATGTATGTACTGGTACCTAGCAATGGGAATTAAAATGCTATTTTCATTGATGATGAGACCTTTATAAAAAAAGAGACGATATAAATTTTTTTCAATGCGTTTGGAGAAGGTTGGGCTCCAGAACTATCCTGGATCACAGCATGAGCTCTTGGCAGGAACAGCTCCCGTTGGTGTGTTTATGTTCAGCTCTTTGAAGGGCTACTTTGTCAATCCCACCCCTCCAACACGGGGGGGCAGCTCTGTGAAACTGACAAGTAGAACATTGCCCGCAGATGCCCTGACAGAATAGCCTCTGACAGGCAGCATTTTGTGAACATTAAATGTCATTCCTTTCTTGCTTCCTCTGATGGGAACTTCATCAAGAGAAAAA